GGCTCAGCCTCCTGCGCGCCCAGGGCCCTGCCCCCCACCCGCCCCCACATACACCCCTGAGAAGGGCCAGGGTGTCTGAGCTCTTCTCAGCGCTTCCCTTGCGCATGTGGGCCCCCCACTCACAGGTGCCGACTAGCTCAGCGACTGCCCCACGGCGTGAGCGTCCATGCTGCTGCTCAGAGAGCCCGTGGGCTTTGCTGTCTCCTCCCGGACTGCAGGGGGACAGGGTGCGGGGCTGCTATCGGACTGCACTGTTTGACTCGTGAGCACGTGGCCCTGTGGCCCGATTGTAAAATCATAAAGGCAATAGTATCCAGTCATCCACCAATACCATCCATGTCTCCAGACAGGAAGCCGGTAATACACGCGCTGTTTTCTCATCGAGGGCTGCGGCCCTTAACAAAGCCCATCGCCAGGGGCCTCACCCTTCCCAGGAGGGCGATGGTGACAGCTGGGAACCTGGACCAGGAACCAGAGCCGAGAACTCTGGGCTGTGAACTTGGGCCGGGAACCGGGGCCGGCTCCAGCAAGCTGTGTTCTGTCAGGAGCCCAAAGCCCCTGGGCTGAGCCCCTGAACTGGGGGCCCCCATGAGATACCTGCTCCCCGCCGTGTCCCCCTTCCCCCAGCAGAGCAAAGCAAGGAGCCTGGGCCCGTGCCGAGAGGAGGAAGTGAGCCCGCAGCAGCCTCAGGGTCTTACTTGTAGTTCTTCTCCCAGAACTTCACCGGCCGCACGTACGACGTGATGAAGAGGACGCTCCCGAGGAACGGGCTCAGCGGCGTGGAGAAGACGGACGTGGCCAGCGTCTGGATTCAGAGATGACGGGGGAGGGGGAGGGGAACATCACTGATGAGAGAATCATTGATCGGCTGCCTCCTGCACGCCCCACACTGGGATCAAGCCTGCACCCCGGGCCTGTGCCCTGACCGGGAAGGGAACTGTGCCCTCCTGGTTCACAGGTCAACGCTCAACCACTGAGCCACACCGGCTGGGCCACATGCAGCCTCTTTATGTCCTACCGACAGAGCCAAGAGGTCAACCTAACAGGTCCATGGTAGCACCTTTCAAAGCTGCCTTGGACCAGTACATTTAAAATGACAGCATCAACGTTAATACTTTAAAAAAAATCAGTAGAAGCTCCAAAAGAGTAGAAAGCAGCCACCCTAAGATACACACTTAACAGATTGCCTGGCTGCATCTGGCTACACATCCGAAGGCCAGGGTCTTGCATGGTCTCCACACGTATTACAGGGGCGACCAGTCTCGTCTCTCCCTGGGGGTTACCGGCTCAGAAACTGACAGAGGCTCCCAAGGGAGGAAACAGGCCGGAACTGGAAAAAGCAATTTACCAAACAGCGCCCCGCCGGCCGGAGAGCCAATTCAATTCCCCAACGGAGCTAAGCAGCCCCCTCCCCGTGCCAGGATGGACCCGCAGGTCCTAACAGAGGGATACAACAATGAACTTTTCAAAATGACTCCAGCACCCAGGGCTGGCATGCAGGGGCCTGAGAGCTGCGTCTGGAGGGCCGATCTGTCCAGTTTCCTGAACCATCTATCCCAGGACATCCTGCTCGCATGGCGCTGGGCGCCACCCTGGTAGCTGATCGAGGCTGGGAAGGTGACCGTGGCTAGTGGGGGTGTCACCAGAGAGAGAGCTTTAGGAGCCAAGCACGGAGACTGACCGAAAACGACTGCAGTTCCAGGAAAGGGCAGTGCACGCGCTTACACTTTAGCCACTTTTTCCCCGTAGCTTGTTCTGCCAAATAACCTTGCGGAACTTTAGAGATCTCAGTGCCGGTCTAAGAATAGACACACAGAACAGTGTGCACTGTGAGCCGGCTCGTGGTTTGCTTAGAAAAGGTTTTTTTCACACATAAATCTGCAGGAGGGCATTTTAAATTAAAAAAATATATATCTAGAAAAGCCCTGGCTGGTTTGATCAGTGGTTAGGGCATCGGGCTGTGGACTCAGTTCCATTCCCACTCAAGGGCACGTACCGGGAGCAACCAATCAATGTGTCTACCTCACATCGACGTTTCTCTCTCTTCCACTCCTCTTCCTTCTACTCTCTCTAAAGACAAAACAAAACGAAACAAAAATGGAAAAAGTATCCTCGGGCGAGAATTAAAAATAAAAAAATCTAGACTATGGTATCATTTAATGATGACCCCAAGTACTATTCCATCTCTGCACACGGAGTTCAGGTCCCAGGGACTCCTTACAAACGTGCGTGCGAAAGGAAGCCAAACCGTCCTCAACACGAGCCAACGATGGGCTGCCAGGGCCTAGAACTGGGGTCACACACATCGGGGGGATACGATTCACCAGGGAGGCTTGCAAAGGTGGGGACCCCAGGGTGTACCCCTGAGATGGGGTGTTAACGTAGGTGGCAGGCTGAGGGGTCTATTTAGCAAACTCCCCCAGGGGTCCCGGTGCAAGTAGCCCAGAACCACATCCTGGGAAACAAAAATGTAGGAAGTATTACATCAGATGGACAGCCTGGCCGGCGTGGCTCAGGGGTTGAGCGTTGACCTGTGAACCAGGAGGTCACGGTTCGATTCCCGGTCAGGGCACAGGCCCGGGTTGCAGGCTCCATCCCCAGTGGGGAGCGTGCAGGAGGCAGCCGCTCCATGAGTCTCTCTCACCATTGATGTTTATTTCTATCTCTCTCCCTCTCCCTTCCTGTCTGAAATCAATAAAAATATATTTAAAATAGAGAAAAGCTTACATCCAGGAAATGTGGGTAAAAATAGCAGCAGAAAGGATACGGGGGACTGCAAAGAGCTGCGCAAACACGTGGAACGACGAGCCCCAAGCCATCTGCCAAGGAGCCACGTACGCCATGACGAACTGTAACTTCTGGAGCAGGTCCCCGAGCTGAAAGCAGAGGAAAGATTCATCAGAGGTAACGGCCACGGTGCAGGGGCGTCAAGGTCACTGGAAGCACACACGGTGTTCCGGCCGGGACGGGGCGACTACTGCTGGCCTCTCCCTCCTACCTCCCCTTGTCCTACATCAAGGCACCTGCTAAGAACAGGTTAAACAGACCGGCCGGCGTGGCTCAGCGGTTGAGCATCGACCTATGAACCAGGAGGTCACGGTTCGATTCCCGGTCAAGGGCTCAGGCCCGGGTTGCGGACTCAGTCCCCAGTGTGGGGCGTGCAGGAGGCAGCCCATCCATGATTCTCTCTCATCATTGATGTTTCTCTCTCTCTCCCTTCCTCTCTGAAATCAGTTAGTATATATTTCAAAAAAACAATAATTAACCTGTGACTGACTGCAAGCATAAACAAGATGACCTCATGTGATGTCTGACCCCTCAGATACCCTAAACAGGAAGTTACGGAAAGTCACTCCCACTGGGTTCCAGGGTAGGACTATGTCCTGCGAGGTTTCCATCCGCCTTCTGAGAAGGCCTGGAAGTAGGTCAGGCCGAGCAGCCACAGGCAGACAGGCAGCCCCGGGGCCGGCCTCGTCTGCCCGGCTAAAGCCCTAACAGGTCCCACTGCGCTGCACTGTGACTGCACGCATCCGTCACAATTATGTTTTGCTGAGCTCGGCGGCTGGTATTTCCACGTAAGCAAAGCCAGGAACGAGAGACTCGCTCTCACGCTCCCACACGGCCGAAGTGAGAGCCGCCGAGAAAGGGCAGACGTGCAGGGAAGGTGGGGAAACTACCAGACATTTTGAGGCAACGGCAGTGCTGTGGGGAGTAGGAAAATGAGCAAGAAGGAACGGGTGGACATGGATTCATGGCATGAAGGGACCAGATACACAATATTCCATTTCCAAAGCTCTAGGGGGAAAAGGGGATCGACGAAGGCCCATGCTGGTCAATACAAGATAAGGAAGAAGGGGTGGGGGTGGGGGAGACAAAGAAAAATCACAAATATGCAACAAAAATACAATAAAAAGCATCAGTGATCACAGTAAATGTAGACAGATACAGCCTGCCTATTACAATATAGATTCTCAAGCTGGATTAAAAAGAAAAATCCTGCTTTTTAAGTGCTTTTATAAGAAATATTAAAATAACTCAGAAAGTTTTAGATAAGAGAATTTTTAAAAAAGACACCAGCCCTAGCCGGTTTGGCTCAGTGGATAGAGCGTCGGCCTGCGGGCTGAAGGGTCCCGGGTTTTATTCCAGTCAAGGGCACATGCCTGGGTTGTGGGCTCGATCTTCAGTAGGAGGCATGCAGGAGGCAGCTGATCAATGATTCTCTCTCATCACTAATGTTTCTATCTCTCCCTCTCCCTTCCTCTCTGAAATTATTAAAAATATATTTTTAAAAAATTAGACAAAATAGACTTTTACTCTAAAAAAAAGCAGTACATAATAATAAAAAGGAAGAAGGAAGATAAAATAACTGGAGTGAATATACTGAAACACATAATCACAAGATATCAAAACCAAAGATGGACACGATTAGGGTAAGATGAACAAATCTGTTATAATAGGGAGAGAGTTTAAGACATGCACCTCAGTAAATGATAATTTAATAAACAACCATATAAAATAGTTTGCCAACAGAATCAATAAGCTTTATCTAAGAGATAAGTATATTAGAATCTTGCAGCTAACCAAAGAGAATTATATAATTTTCAAGCAGATGTACATTTACAAGATATAATTTCCTAAACTAAAAAAGAAGTCTTAACCAAGGCTAAAAAAATGATACCATGCAAATTTCTTGGCAATTAAATTAGAAGTTAATAGTAAAAAGAGGACAAAATAGCAATAGCCATAATAACCACAAATTTTGCATTTGGATATAACCACAAACACAACACTGAACTGAGAGTAAATGGTAGTCAAAAATGACAAGATATTTAAAAATGAATGACAGTGAAAAGCAGTAGTACCAATCCTAACTTGTGGGACTTCAGCTAAAGCAGTTTATAGAGGAAAATACATAGCCTTCAATGCCCATCATAGAAAAACTTCACGGTTCACACTGGGAGAGCATTCTTTCATATTAAAGTAAACAAGGATAATATACATGTTCTCACCTATTAATATAAATGCAAAATTCCTCAATAAGATATTTACAAAGTGAATCTATAAACGTATAAAACATATGATCAAGTTTGGTTCATCTCATCATGTTTTAACATTAGAAGAAATGTCAGTATATTTTAAAAATGAAGGAAGTAAAAAAAAGAAACACAAGAGGATGCTCAAATAATGCAGGAAGAATATTGGAAAATAAATTCAACTCACTCACAAAAAGCCCCTTGCACCCCCGTAATAAAAGCGTTTTCCTTAATCCCGATGAAGGCTATGAGTGCTATATGGCAGTAAACACCATATTTACTAATAAATGCAAAACAATAGCAGAATTTTTCAGGCCAGAGGTATCAAGCAGTAGGAACCTGATTAGCCTACAGCAATAAAGTGAAAATAGAACCTTAAGGGCAGGAAACACTAAGGAAGGAGAGAGCCACCAGGGTGGCGGTTTGTCATCCGTGAAGTGCACTTTGGAAAATTGTCACGAAAAATTGAAACGGGGCTGCAGAGGGAATGAGCGTGCCCAGCAGGAGAGAGCTACTTAGGCAAATGAGTGGGAGCTAATGAGGGAAGTGCGGCAGCCTGGGTCCTGATGAGCCGGCCTTATGCAGCCAGACGATTGAGACCCCGACGGGGCGGGACAGGAAGCCTCAGCCAGGGTCCTAGTTCATAGCTGCTCGTTAGCGTATCCGTGCATGCAAATGAAGTCACCAGGGCACACGGGCATGTTACAACCGGCCAGGCGGCAGGAGCGCACACCTCTCACAGGTCCTGTGGAGACCCCCACGAATTAGGGGTTACATGGAATCCTGAGTCGGTGAGCGTTTCTGGCTGTGCACAGGGTCAGGGGTGGGTCCCCTGAAGGAGGCTGGGGTGGACGACCACAGGAAGAATCAGGTGATGGTGAGAGAGAGCTACCTTGTTCTTGGGGTGCAGTGTGATAATAATAGGGTTCATGCAGCGCTCTGCCTTCCTCCCAGTTCCTTCATCCTTTACATCCAACTTCTCTTTGATACACGTTCCCCATCCTTGTTTTGGGTTTTATTTAGCCTTTTCTTCTCTATTTTTTGTTTTGTTTTCTTGTTGTTGCTAATCCTCATCCGAGGATATTTTCCCACTGATTTTTAGTGAGAATAGAAGGGAGAAGGAGAGACAGAGAGAAACGCTGATGTGAGAAAGACACATCGATTGGTTGCCTCCTGCACCAGCCCTGACCAGGGCCCGGGCTGGGGAGGAGCCTGCAACCGAGGTACCTGCCCTTGACCGGAATCGAACCTGGGACCCTTCGGTCCGCGGGCTGACGCTCTACCCGCTGAGCCACACCACCTGCGACAGAAAACCAAGGAAGCGGCCACCGGTCAGAAATGCACCTTTGAGGCTGAGTGCAGGGAGGGCCGCGGACTTGCCTTGCTGAACAGGATGGACACGAGGAAGAAGTCCAGCAGGAAGCTCTCGGACAGGCCCCTGCAGTCGAAGTGGAAGAAGAGGACGGCGAAGCCCAGGGGCGCGAACTGGCGGCCGGGGTGGCAGAAGGAGGCGCGCAGCAGCTTC